AAAAAGAAAGGAAAAATTGAAATCGCATCATATGACCCCTTTAATTGTAACCTTTAATATTATAGTAATGTGCAAGCAAAATTGCTCCTTTTATAGTTTCAATTATATACATTTTTAGTTATAATTTCTTTTATTTAAAGATTGATAGATATATATATTATATATATATATATATATATATATATATTTGTTTAGTTATCCCCCCTGCTGTACCGAAAATGTAAAAAAATTGACTTCAAAACTGAGGTATGTACCGAACCATCATTTTTATGTACCGTTTCACAATTTTGTATGTTCTGCATTCCACCTCATTCAACCAATTCCCTCAAAACTGCACTGTGCACTGATGCTCAGCTGGGAGGAGCAGCAAAAGTGGGTCTGTGGGCTCCAGTGAAACATCAGTACAAAGCATGGGTGTTCTGGTGGGCCAGTCATCAAGCTGGAAAAAAACAAGATCAAGTGGTCATTCTTCCACATACTGTAAGTCATCACATCTAGAAATGCTCAATGGAAAAACATACCTGTACCTACATTTTTGCAAAACTCCTATGAATACAATTCACTGCAGTTTCCAGCTGAAGTTAACACTAGAGGCTGTAAAACAGCAACAACTTACTTTTTGCTTGGGTACAACTTCCATAAGACACAAGATGTGCAAGAAGCAACGTAATATCATTTTGCAGAAATGCCAGCACAGGCATGCATTTCCAATGAGCGTGTGTTGTAGCTGAGCTAAATAAATTAGTTTCTAACAGAAATAAAGATGAGCTCATTCAGATGTCTGGACAAGTACTGATCATGAAGTTAAACATACAGTTACCAGTACATTGGGAATGGTCTCCCTGTGGCAAATTGTTTGTTTGATCTGTGGACCAAAATGTGTTGCCAACCATCCCAGAATAAAAGCCACGGTAACTGCTACCACTACAGCGATGCTCACAATCAACGGCCTCATAAAGTCAGATGTCTGCTCTAGGAAGGAAATCACATGTTAATGTGAACAAGCTCAGCATGGTATATTGTTGTATTTATAATTTTGTCTAATCTATTCACAGTTGTCTTCCCAATGGAATGTCAATCTACTAAAATAATTTCCTTTATCAAACGATCACACCCTGCAGTGATCACTCACTTGGAATGATGACACACTGTTTGTCAGTGCTGCAGCTCTTGTTAATGGCTTCTACTAGTGCTTCTGCCTTAAAGCACATCTTCTCTTTCCCCCGATGGGCAGCAATGGAAAAATGATAGGGATAAGCTCTGATCACATGAATTAAGGCCTGAAACGACATCCATCATGTTACAATAGGCCTTAGTTTGGAAGGACAACTAATTTTATTTTATACAAATTAAAACAAGGCTGTGAGTGTTAGAGATACACACTCTGTTCAGTAGTTTGCACTTTTCACAAGCCATATTTTCCATATTTTTTGTCCACTGGAAAGGTGTGTCAATGTTGTTATTATAACAGCATAATAGACTATTTAAATGAAATGCATATACATGTAATATCCCACTCTATCTCCCAATAACATGTCTTAGAAAAATGTCATGTAAATGCATAGTTTTGTGATCAAAGCTGTGTAGTTTTAAATGTGGGTAGAATGTTTATCAGTGCTCAAAAGCCTGTTTTATTTGCTACATATAAAAATCTATTTTATCAAAATCATTCAAGATGTCACAGCAGAAAGAGATGTACCACGGCCTGAAGTTGGACAAGTTTAGAATTATACTAAAAGGCATTTTACTTGCTAAAGTATGAACTATCAATCAGAAGTACAGATGTGCAGAAGGCATGTGGAAGATTGTGTACAATAAGTTGTGATCATGCTGGTTATTTAGAGGCCTTAAAATTTATTTATTTATTGGATTAATATTGTGTAACCTATATTGAGTAGTCTGGTAAAGGAAAGATTCAGTGAATCTCATAAAAATAATCACTTATTTCCACCAAGCATGTGATGTAACCTACAGAAAGAAACGCTGAAAAATCCCCACCACTACTGTGCAAACTGACAGTCAGAATAGAATAGAAAACAAAAACACAACAAACAGAGTGATACAAACAGTGAAAAATTCCAGTGCTATTGGACTAAATATCAGCTCTCATGGAATTGCTTGGCAAGGTCAGAAGAACAAAGCGTTGGCACACTGACAAGGAGGCAAGAGACCATTTTTGAATGTGAATGGAGGAGATGTTTCAGTCTATTTAATATGTTTTTGTGAGGAAACAGCATATTACTTAAAGAATTGACTGCTTGCCTGCTTGCCTGCTAATCTTTGACATATTTTACAATAAATCTTTTTGGAGCGAATAATGTGTAGAGTTTACTATGATTAAAATTCTTAAAATTCTGTTTTAAGAGAAGTTACAGATAATTTTGTGACAGGTTGGATAAATAAAGGCTCTACAATCCACAAAGTCCTGCTGTAATAAAACCTATAAAGTTAACCACTTTATCATGACGCTTTCTCCAATAATGCAGGCATAAAGGCTGTAATGTCCCCCCTTAATAAAATAATCTCTGCTTACTGTTATATAAAAAAGTACAATCCTCTGAACAGACTGTACAAATGTCACTCACAGCCTCATTGTTTAAATTGTATTAAAATAAATATGCCATCTACCCTTACTAAGGTCCACAGGCATTCATTAGCAGAGTCAACAGACATGTTACATTACATAATGGTTACAAAATGAAAGTTTGAAAATATTCTCACATTCTGTTCGTCTCCCTCCTGCCAGACTTTAAGGTTTACAGTCATATCAGAAATAGTTGTACAAAAGCCCACCTGGATAGGATCCCCCTCCACATTCACTGTCATTTTTGGAACCAGTAACAATGCTATACAAGACAAAAAAAGGGACCCAGTTAAGCTATTTCAGACATCAAGACAAATAAAAGGGACCCAGTTAAGCTATTTCAGACATCTCTCATTTTTTCTAGTAAAAATAATGGCAAGAATGCTCAACTGTGTCTCCTGTTGAAGGTCGCTGGTAGTTGTGTCCATGATTTCTGGCCATCACAGTTTGTCTTTATGCGGATACTGTAGTCAGAGTTGGAGGCAAGGTCATGGGTGAGGTCACACCAGTTTTCACAAATCTCTTGGCAGTCATATGCATCCACCCATGTTCCGTTAAGATTGTATAACTCATACTCCCTATATTGACAATCAGAGCTGAGTATTATAAAAAAAAATTCAGACACGAGTCACGATTAACACAACAATTAAAAACAGTTTGATTACAATATTTTAAAATGAAATAAATGAAAATAAATTAAATTAGTTTACATTTATTTATTTATTTAGCAGGCAAAATAAGAAAGTGTCTTTGCAATGATTACTTGATGCCAATCCCCTTAACATGTTTTTGCTTGAAGTGATGGACGGACACTAAAGCTTAAGAATACTTGTTTTGCCTGTAGAATAGGACTGTTTTTTGATAACATCAACAAAGTGCAAACATCTTGCTCAAAACTGTATCATACAGTCTATAAACTAGAACATAAACTTACAGAAATTTGCAGTACTGACACTGTCATTGAACTGAATTGAATCAACATTCAACTGACTTGAGATTAATAAATTTGGGTATTTTTGCTTACCCTTGAAATTGCACAGAGTAGTTGACAGTGGAACAGGATGCTTGCAAGAGGCTCCATTTCAGGATGTGCTTCAGGTTTACAGAATGCATTGAGGCGTTCAGAGGTATGGATAGTGATCTTGAATCTGAAATACATTACCAATATTAATATTTGTCATACATTTGGTAAAAAGCTAATCTCACACACAAATACTGATCAGCATGTTCAAAAGTATTTTCAGAACGTCAAACCTCAAATTCATTGCATAAACCTGTTCAACATTTTCAGGAACATAATACTAGTGCCAAAATAAATATTAAATGAAGTTTGGTACAGAGTGGGAACACACGTTTCTAGCAGGAATTAGCATGTTGCTAGCATGATTAAACATGAATTAACACATCACTAGTGAGATTTTACATGAATTATCATGTTGATATCATGATTTAACATGTGTTTAACATGTTGCTAGCATGTCTCTAGCACGCTTCTAGCATGATTAGCAAGTTGCTAGCATGTTGTTAGCATTATTAGCATGTTGCTAGCATGATTAGCATGTTACTAGCATTTTGTTAACATGATTACCAAGTTACTAGCATGTTTGCTAGCATGATTCTAGCATGATTAGCCTGTTATTAGCTTGTTGTTAACATGAATAACAACTTACTCGAATGTTACTAGCATGCTCAGCAAGTTACTAGCATGATTCTAGCATAATTAGCATGTCACTAGCATGTTGTTAGCGTGATTAGCGTGTTACTAGCACATTACTAGCATGGTTCTAGCATGATTCGCATGTTACTACCATGTTATCACCACCATTAGCAAGTTACTAGCATGGTTAACTAGTTGCTAGCATGATTCTAGCATGACTAGCATGTTTCTAGCATGATTAGTATGCTACAAGCATGTTACAAGTGGGTTAGCAAGTTACTAGCAAGATTAGCATGTTACTAGAATGGTTAGCAAGTTACTAGCATTTTGCTATCATGGTTAGCATATTACGAGCATGTTGTTAGCATGATTCTAGCATGATTGACATGTTACTTGCATGTTTCTAACATAATTAGCCAGTTACTAGCATGTTGCTAGCATTTTTCTAGCATGTTAATAACATGTTGCTAGCATGATTAACATGTTACTTGCATGTTTCAAGCATGATTAGCATGTTACTAGCATGTTGCTAGCATGTTTCTAGCATGATTAGCATGTGGTTAACTAGTTGCTAGCATGATTCTAGCATGACTAGCATGTTTCTAGCATGATTAGTATGCTACAAGCATGTTACAAGTGGGTTAGCAAGTTACTAGCAAGATTAGCATGTTACTAGAATGGTTAGCAAGTTACTAGCATTTTGCTATCATGGTTAGCATATTACGAGCATGTTGTTAGCATGATTCTAGCATGATTGACATGTTACTTGCATGTTTCTAACATAATTAGCCAGTTACTAGCATGTTGCTAGCATTTTTCTAGCATGTTAATAACATGTTGCTAGCATGATTAACATGTTACTTGCATGTTTCAAGCATGATTAGCACGTTACTAGCATGTTGCTATCATGTTTCTAGCATGATTAGCATGTTACTAGCATGTTTGCTAGCTTGTTTCTAGCATGATTGACATGTTAATAGCATGTTGCTAGCATGATTCTAGAATGATTACCAAGTCAATAGCATAATTAACATGTTAATATCATGTTACTAGCATGATTAACATGTTAATATAGCATGTTGCTAGTATTATTAACATGTTACTAGCATGTTGCTAGCATGTTTCTAACATGGTTAGCAAGCTACTAACATGATTAGCAAGTTACTAGCCTGTTGCTAACATTTTGCTAGCATGTTTCTAGGATGGTTAACAAGTTACTAGCATGTTGCTATCATGGTTAAAATGTTACTAGTATGATTAACATGTTAATAACGTGTTACTAGCATGATTAACAAGTTACTAGCATGAATAGCATGTTAACAGCTGTTGCTAGCATGATTCTAGCATGATTAGCAAGTTACTAGCATGTTGCTATCATGTTTCTAGCATGATTAGCATGTGAATAGCATGTCGCTAGCATGATTGACATTTTTCTTGCATGATTAGCATGTTAATAGCATGTTGCTAGCATGATTAGCATATTACTAGCATGATAAACAAGCTACTAGCATGTTTCTAGCAAAATTAGCTAGTTACTAGCATGTTGCTAGCATGATTAACAAGCTACTAGCATGTTGCTAGCATGATTAGCATGTTACTAGCATGTTTCTAGCATAATTAGCCAGTTACTAGCATGTTGCTAGCATGATTAACAAGCTACTAGCATTTTTCTAGCATGATTAGCATGCTACTAGCATGTTTGCTAGCTTGTTTCTAGCATGATTAACATGTTACTAG